AGTTATAGAAATAAAATTATCATTTCCACTATTTTATTTTTTTTTTTAAATGTAATTGTAGGTATAAATACGTAATAGTCATGGAATTCACTTAAAAATATGCAAAATAAAATTAAGAAACATTTAAAAAAATTCTAATACAGAATCTTAAAGACAATAAATAACAGTTTTTTTTCAAGAAAACATGTAAGCCATACAAATCAAAGGAAATAAATTTTTCAGAAAGCAATTGATTCTTCGGAGTACATTGTATTTGATTTCCTTTTGTGGAGACTTTTCATCTCTCTGATAGAAGTCTAATCATTAACTAGTTAAAGAACCCAAAAGTTACTCTTGCGATAAAAAACAAACTACAATTTAAGAAAATTGCTTAAAGTTTATCGAATGAGTTTCTTTTTAATTTGTGTAAGCAATTTCAAGATGTTTTTTTTTTATTGAAGTTTCAAACTAAATGCTACCAATAAATTACATTTTTTTTTGACAAAATGCCATTTCTTCCTTAGTGCATTTTGTTTTAAGTAGTATTTGTTTTTAAATCTTTAATGATGATATTACTAGTCTTACTTTCGTATACTGAAACTTATGTTAATTTGAATAAAATCAGAATTATAAAATCTTCATATAAATATAAATTTACGTCATATATTAATTAGATATTATTTAAAAACTCAGAACCACCTGTAGGAACTTTTTTAAGTGTGTAATGATTTTAAAGATGTATTAATGTAAGCAACAAGAAGTTTATAATGTATTTTGAAATAGAATAAGTAAAATATTTAAACTTATATTTTGTTGTATTAATATGAAAATCAGTAAAAAATAATGTTTTCGGCCATTACATATATAAAAAATTAATGTGATATATCTCAAAAAATATACAATACATTGGAAAAATTGAGATTTGAAATTCAATTCTACTTTTAATGAATAATTTATCATTTTTAAAACATATTTTTAAAAACTAAGAAACATCACTTAATTTTTTAAAAATAATAATATAAAGATATTTAAAAGATGATTTATTTATATAATGCATTTGAACAACTATGAAATGTCAAATTTACATAATTAAACGCAAAACTAAAAAAATCTATATACCTAATTAAAATTTTAGAAATTCAAAATTGAATAAATTATTGCAAACTAAAGATGTAATTAAAAGAGATTTTAAATCATAAATATATTTTTGCCGTATTTTCCTTTTACCTTTAATTATTAAGGAAAAAAAATGGTATCTAAAATATTCATTTTCTTTCAAAGAGACAGTAAGTCTATGAGATGAATTGTTGCTATAGAAAATAGACTTATGAATATATTTGCATAAGTAAATAGGACGGGGTAGATCAAACCTTACCATGGACTTAAAGAATAACAGAATTCGATTTAAACCTTTTGAGACTTAATTAACAATGAAGTACTTTTTCATACATTTCAGTTGTAAAAAGAATGCACAAAATAACAAAGACTTTAATTTCAATAACTCACAAAAAGAAAATCTTTTAGGGAAAAGAATATTCCCCAAAACATGTAAGAGTTGAATTAATTCTATTTGTTATTTTCATTGTATTTTGAACTAATAAAGCGCATTTTATCATGGATTATCTTAGGAACTTACATAATTGTATTGCTTATAAATGTTATAAAAATTCATTTATATTTATTCTCATTTACATGATAGGAATTATTATATATTATTAACATTTCTGCAACAAATGGAAAATATTCCCTAATGGAAACGTAACATATATTTTGTTAAACAATCCAAATCTTCCTTTTTAATTCTAAATTAAATCTTTGAAGACCATTTATATACAACCCTATTAAATTTGTCGACAATACTGATATACTTTCATTCACAAAAGCAAGTATACAGTGCAGTTGAGATAATGTCTTTTGAAAAAGAAAAATAATTATGTACATATCATCTTTAAGATAACAAGTTATTTCAATAACAGAAAACTATAACTTTACATAAAAAAAAGAATAGAAATACAAAGATTTAATTAACCGGGCAAACTAAACTTAATTAATATGAAATTCATGTAAGTATTCAATAATAAACAAGAAAAGAGAAAATGAAAAAATGTCGATTTTTTTTTTTGAGTTTTAAAAATAACTATTTTTTGCCAACTGTGTTTATTAGATTAGAAAAGAAAAATAATTCTTCTTTTTTCTTATTATTATTATAACTTGAACTCTACAATAAATGTTTTTATGACAAGCCTTTTGTTTTGTTTAATTTATTTTGTTATAAATATGTTTTACGTACATTAAATTCTAATTCTCGAATGAAAAACCCAAATTATACGATACTTTATATGCATTTTTTAGCCACAAAATAGGCTTATAAAAAAACCCAAAATGAGATATTATTACAAAATAAATAATAATGGTTTTTTTTTTTCTTTCATGAAACAAATTTTACAATGCTGATTTACATTGACTGATAGCTTCCCAGGTATATTTTAATAAAAATAACTATATCTTCTCATCCTTTACAAAATTAGTCTAAAATTTCTCAAAAATGATTTTTTTATTATAGAAAATCAATCACACAAAAAATAATTATTCTAAGCAAAAATCTTTCATGAATTCATAATTACTTCAAAATAAGCAAGTAAAAGTTGTGAAAGTTAATTTTAATGAAAAGTTACTTTATTAAAATCCAGGATATCAATTTTGCTTATTATCTCTTAATATCTTAAGCAATATATAGATATATATTACATGATAACTTACAACCAACAATTAATAAAAATTATATTATCCTTTGCACTAAATTTTGTTAACATAATTGTAGGTTTAAATACGTTATAGTCCTGAATTCCTTTATAAATTATGCAAAAATACAAACTTTTGGACATTGAAGAATGATTTCTATTCTTATTTTTAGATTGAATTTTGAATAGCTACCTTTACTGCAATGCATGAGTTTTCTATTTTTCACCATCTCCCATTAGTATTACATAGTGTATTGACAAAAGCAAATCTATTTTTTTCTCTCATTTTCATTTTAAAGTCAAATCGAAAATTGAAATAAAATATGGTTATTTTCTCGTTATCATATTATTTCCAATACATTAGTTACGTGAAGCATTTTATAGAAAAACACAGAAATATTTCCATCAGCAAGGAACTCGGCATCAATACTTTTGTTCCTCAGAAACAGTTAGGTAAGTACCAATTTTCTTCCTAGATCTTTTCGAATGACTTAGGGCTTAAGAAAAACCAAGCACAACTTATATCCTATTGACTTATACTTCTTTTCAAATATCAAGAAAATTTCATCTAAACAAAAGATGCTTTAGTCATATTTTGTCTTGGCATTGTATGCAATGTGTTTAAAGTCACCTTTGCATCGAGATATTATTGTATACTATTTTCATATGTATTGATATAATTAAGATATTGATATAAATTATTTCTAATAATTTAAATGATATGGTTTGTGTATTGGTTATTCTATTAGTTCATAACATATTTATTTAAAAATTGATTGAACAAGTTTTAATTAAAAAAATTCAATGGTAAAATAGTTATCAAAAAAATATAGTTACATTTATATATGCTAAGTTGTTTCTTGTCCCTCTTGTTACGACAGTAATATTTAATCGGAAGTCCATGAACCAATGACAAGTTATGATAAATAATTAAATAAATGGTAAAAAATGCAGCTTCTTTTGTCCTTGACTTTGTGGCACAAAGATTTGAGGTACCCAAAAGGGTTTGGTTTGGTTTGTCACTCTACGATCTATTCATACATTCTTTCTGCTAATTAGACTGGGACCTAAAGTTTAAAGTGGATTCCGAACCATACAAACATCCATGGCACCGTCGGGACTCGAACCCGAAAATTGTGGTACCGAGCGCCAGGGATCACACACCGGAGTCATATTTTTATTTAGAATAATCGAACCAGATTCGATAATTTGAACCTACAAAATTTGAAAATTATAACATTATGTAGTTATGTAAGCACATCAGTAATTTAAGATTTAATTAATTTTATTTGTGTCTTTTATTTCCATAAATTTTCAGCAATCATGCCGTGACTGTGAAATTAGAAGATTATTTTTTTTTAATTTCACAATACGTTTGTCTGCAAGACGGAAAGGTAATATCTTTTTTTGTGTAGTCAATGTTTTTTAACGAATTTCAACCTTTTAAGGATATAGAAATGGTACGTAGAAACAATTTCTAGCTTTTTATATATTAAAAACTAAAAGACATCCGCGAAAATTCAATGAAAATATGAAATTAATTTGGAAAAATCTGATCACAAATTAATCTAGCTTTCAATGAAAATTCAAAGAATATTTCTTTTGCACTAAACTTCAATCAAAGCTGCAACAAATAGAACCGCATGTTTGTTAAACAAATTAAATTAAACGAAATTATATCAACAATCTAATAAAATGTTAACAATTTTATTAATGTAATATATAAAATTTCCTTATAAAATATAAGTCATATGTTATTCATGTAATTGATTTTGATCATGAATATTTTCTCATACACATTTTGATTTAACCTTCATGGAAATACATTGCATATTATTGGGTAGACAGGAAACAACAAAAATAAATATTAGATTATGACTAACTACTGACTCATTGTTATGCATAGGTTCTGTTTTCAGACTCCTTGGAGATTATAGATAAATCCATGCAGTTCTCACTGAAGTCGGGTGAAACGGTTTGACAATCGTTTTGCAAATAAAATATCCAAGAATTCATGTGAAATACATAAAATATTCGTATTCGTTGTATCACAATCGATAAAAGATACAATTTTATTTCTTTAAATGTTAACAACAAAATGCTATTTCTTTTCGATTAACTTATATTCTTGATGTTATTTGGAATTAATTAATTGTTAGCGCTCAAATACCAAAAACGAAGTGTAATAATAGAATATTTAAGAAATATTTATTCTTTAATGTATGACAATGTATGCAAATGTATTTAAAAATAAAATTTTGAACTCATGTCTGTCTGCCAACGGCCATACCATGGTAGAATATACCGGTTCTCGTTAGATCACCGAAGTCAAGCATCATTGGGCACGATCAGTACTTGGGAGGGTGACCACCTGGGAACACCGCGTGCCGTTGGCATTCACAAATTTGGAACCTGAATGACCGAGTGTCAAGCGCTCGGTGCCACAGGTTTTCGGGTTCGAACCAGGCGGTGCCATGGATGTTTGTAGTGGTTCGGAATCCACTTTAAGCCGTAGGTCCCGGTCTCCTATGACTGTAAGAAAGTCACGGAGCCAAAGTCAGACTTTTACCTGCGGGTGCTCCATCACAACAGAAGCTACTTCCTTTCCCTTCAATCATGAGTACGTATCGGCTCGTGGGCTTGGCCAGCCAAGTGGGATAAGAAACAACATCAAACAATAGAATTCATGTCTGAAAATTTTAAAATAGAATAATTCAACTTACACAATATGATAAGTTTTAAAATATGATATTTAACTTTAGACATAGAATTGAATGTTTATATGCGAAAGCAAAATAAAATATAATTGATATTACGATACTAACCTGAATTACGACGATTTTGTTTAACAATATCTTATTCAATTAAGCATTCATTTCATTCCAAATAAATAACTATTTTTCAATAGCAAATACAAATATATATCCGAAGGGTTTCAAATCTAGCTTCAAAATATATATTCAAGTTTATTACAAATTAATATATTATCTCACTCATTCATAGTCCAGTCGTAAAGTTTGGAATCTAACGAGTAATATCCCGGAGATTCTGTTTCTGCTTGGCAAAAAATACATTTGAGTCATTGCATTTATGAACTTGAACATTAAATGAATTGCATAACAACTTGTGTGAACATCTCGTATGGATAGTTGAAGTGCTTGGTGAGAATCTTTTCTGGTGTTTCACCCCTGCGTCGTGAAAATATTGGGTAGTTCCCTTGAAAATAACATTTTGCAGCCATGTCAATCCTCTGAAAGGGAGAAGTTGTCTGTGGTTTACTATACGTATAATATTATCCCTATTGTAAACATAAAAGATGCCAATAATAAAATTTTGCCTAACTCATGGCCTTTGCTTATCTAGCGTGCATGAGACTCAGGTTGGAAACCATCCCCGAGTCTGATGTAGTCACCGTTTTTAAAAACTGTAAATACCGCGACGTTGTCTTCAGCGCCTAAGAATATCGACTAGACGTTTCTTGGTGCATATTCTCTGGGTTTGTTCTCATATGACATAAAAATTTGCGCCAGTTATCAAGAGTCTTTCCTGAGGGAAATAGAATTGCCACCCTTCACCAAACGTTGAAGAATTGTTCGTAATTTGAAAACGTTGGTGAATTGATCGTAGTTTACATAAGTAGAATATGAAGCACATGAAATATATATAAGTAGAATAGGAAGTATGAATACAAGTAGAATATGAAGTATGAATATGAATAGAATATGAAGAAGTAGAATAGAATATGAAGTATGAATACAAGTAATGAAGTATGAATGGTGGTATGAATACAAGTAGAATATGAAGTATGAATGGTGAAGTATGAATACAAGTAGAATACGAAGTATGAGTAGAATACAATGAATACAAGTAGAATATGAAGTATGAATACAACTAGAATATGAAGTATGAATCTAGAATACGATCCTAGAATTGAAGTATGAATACAACGGGAATACAAGTAAAATATGAAGTATGATACAAGTAAAATTAAAGTGATGTACCATGAACCACTACAAACACCCATGGCAAAGCCGGGATTCGAACCCGATACCTGTGGTACCGAACGCCAGAGCGCTAGCCATTCGGCCATCAGGCCCCATCCTCCACTATAAGATTGACTCTAATTAAGATGATTAATGAAAATGTTATATGTTGCCAGTAATCACCGGATTAATCCCCCTAAGATTTGAAAATTTATCTATCTTATCTATAACCACCGGAAGATTAATCTATTAAGATTAATCAGTTATATGTTACCGGTGATTATGCATAATCACCATACTAATCCACTATTAGATAAAAGATGTAGTCCTCCAATATAAGATAGATAAGATGATTAATCCGTTATATGTTGCCGGTAATTATGAACAATCACCAGATTAATAAACTATTAGATAAAAGATTAATCCTCCACGATAAGATAAAATATTAATCCTTCACGAGATAGTTTAATTAAGATGATTAATCCTTTATATGCATAATACGGTGCCGGGGATTATGTATAATCATCGGATTAATTAATTATTAGGTAAAAGATTAAACCTTCACTATAAGATAGATTAATTAAGATGATTAATCCGTTATATGCATAATCAGGTGCCGGCGATTATGCATAATCACCTTATTAATACACTATTAGATAAAATATAAATCATCCACTATAAGAGAGATAAGATGAACAATCCGTTATATACATATTCCGGTGCCGGGGATTATGTATAATCACCGGATTAATCCATTATAAGATGATAGATTAATCCGTTATATGCATAATCTGGTACAGGTTTTTAAGCATAAACACTGGGTTAATTTACTATTAGACAAAAGATCATCCACTATAAAATAGATAAATTAAAATTAACTCGTTATATGTTACCTGTGATTATGTATAATGAACGGAATTAATCACATTTACCATAACGTTTGCAGTGCAATCACACGCAACAATCTCAACAGCTATCGCAAAGAATCTCAACAGTTTATTTTGAACTCCATTCCATGGAAAAGAAAATCTTTATTCCAAATGATTAAAAATTCATCCGATTACAATTTATCTCTGGAAAGAAATAACTTTTGAAAGTTGATAAACACCCAAGAATAAAAACAACACCAAATGAGACGTTTTAAATTAATTACACCGTTTCTTTATTGTCACTCCCCATCTTTTCAGATTCTCTTTAAGAATTCTTTCCTTCTGATAGCACCCAAATAAATGAATCAAAGTTCTTTTGATCTTCCCGCCGAATGAATAACTTACAGTTCATCGAAGAAAAAATTACATAGTTATGAATCCCAGGCGATTTTTCATTCAGAATGTTGGTGACAGAAATTTACTCAATATGACATAGGAGGGAAAGATACATAGAATATATTTATCGTGAGAAAAAGAATCTTTCATAAACATGCTAGTGTATATTTATTTATTTTTAAAAAAAATTATTGAGAGTTCATTTATTAGGTTATCTCAAAGAGTAAATTTTGTTGTTGTTGTTGTTTTTAGTCATTGGAAGATTTATTTTTTATGAAAGGTATTTGTTTTAATTATAGTTTTGGAAAAGCTTTTATTTCAGTAACTGTGTGTTTTTTATCTTGTATTTATTTTGCCTTTAGTAATGTGTTAAGAAAATATTTAAAGGGGTATTTAATATTTTCTGTACGTTAATTTGATTTTTTTCTCAAAAACTGGAAGACTTTATTTTCATTGACACTTTTCGTAAAAAGGCTTTTGAATCGATTTTTATTATCTTTCATCTTCTATTGAAATTTTAGAAAAAAATAATAGAATCTTATTTATGTACAAAAAAATTAATTTTATTACGTAAAAGGATTTTGAAAAAAAATATATGAAAAACATTTGTTTTTCGAAAGAAAAGAAGGAATGCAATATTTTTGAAAAATGCTTTTGAAATAAATCATTTTTGGTGATCTGTCAAAGACTTAAAAGAAATTAAATAAAAATATGCAATAATAAATATATAAAATAAAATGAATTTAATAAAAATTAATATAAAAAATTAAATTTTTTTAAAAGAAAATAGTAGATTTTTGATGTTTATTTTCGAATAGTATTAGGCTTAAGCATGGTCGTATGTGTATTGCTCATAAATATTAGATTAAGAGCATAATTTCAAATCTAATTAACTTGTTTAATAAGATTACATTAATAATATCATTTATAATGATTTATTGTAATTTAATAATATTTCATAATTTATCTCATTATTTATTTAACCTTAATTAATTGTTTACTCATATAAATTCTAAATTGATTAATGTATTTTTTTAAAGTGTTCGAAAAAAAAGATTGATAAACAGTTTTCAGTATATTATATTAGAAAAATATCATAATTCTTATAATATAAAAATATAAATTAATATAATAATATTTAATATATAAACTAATATTCGAATTAAGAGATTTTGCGTATTTGTTCGATTTTCTGAAAGACTACTAGAAAGGGAAGACAATGATTATAATGACTATAGTAATTATAATTACACAATGATTATAATGACTATAGGGATTATAATTACAATGATTAAAATGATTATATTGACACAATAATTATAATAATTATAATTAAACAATGATAATAATTTATATTGTTGAATATGTAAACTTATACATGAGTTGGAAGAGCTTATATAGAAATAGAACTTATTAGAACATATGGTAAATACAAATCAAATGTTTTTGTATAGAAAATTGATTTTTTTTTATGTGAAATTTTGTATTGTTTTTCTTTCGCTCACAAACCTTGACAAATTTAGTGATAGTTTTTTTTCCCACCATTCTAGAAAATTTAAAAACGAACAGATATAATGAGTCCATACAATGATTTCCAACTTACAGATGATGGAATCAAGTAGTGAATAGTGTGAATATTGATAACAGGACTTATCAGGTCTGAAATGTAACGCTTAACGTGGAGTTTAATATGTGGAAACAGTTTAAATGTAATAAAATCGTATAGATCAATTGGAAATATCGTCAAGAGTAAGGACGTTCATTGTAGACCAGCATTTGCCTTAAGCATGTATTATTTGTACATTTTGCACACATTAATTTGTAGGATTTGTGCATTTTATTTCAATATTTGTCTTGCGAATCACTGAAAGTGATATATAACATGAATGCAGTAGTTTCTCCTTTTTTGTGAACTTTACGCGATTACAAGAACTATAGTTTTAAGGCTTAGAATTTTCAGATGATGGCACGGGAAAGTTGCGTATGATCCACACTTCATTCTAGCACAAAATAAACCATTTAGATTTCTACAATACACATCAGATATCATCGGAATAATCTTAAATTCACTAAGGAGTTCGAGTTCAGTATAGTGACATTTTCTGGATACAAGTATATGCAGGGAGATCTAGGAAGCCATTATT